TCGATCGTGACGCTGCGTGGATTCGCAAAATGCGTGTATATGGTTCTTGAAATACGTGAATGGGAAATGCGAGGGTTCGATGCGCTGCTTTGGTTTGCTGGGAGAGCGAATAAAACCGATACGAGAGAACGTGCAGTTAGAGGATTTGGATTAGCCCGTTTTCGATTACGGTGACTTGTTGATGACTTGACTGTAGCTTTCATTTTTAAAACCAAAAACTCCCTCATTTTCTCAGGTGTTCTGGAAAAGCTCACATTTGTCGACCTAGCAGATTCTTGATTTCCGACTCTATCGTAATCTATAAATCCTATTTAATACAGGAAACTCCTTTACTAGCCCCTGTTACAAAGAAAAAAGATCCTTAATCATCTCGCTGTCAATTCGAAAAATTCAAAAGCGCTTCTCCTTAACGATTCTCCAGCTGCAATTTATATTAATTAATAAATAATTCACCTGAAGGATACAATTTTCTCCTTAGTTTGCATGTAGTAGCTTCATCGTTGATGATTCGATGGTTAGTGGTGCAACATTCGGGGAGCTGGTTCGCGCCAAAGGGAGGCGACCCGACGGGGGCGTAAACGGAGGTGGGTTTCGCATGATCGGGAAACGGAACGCAGAAACGCGCTTCGAAATTAACCGCGTGCATAATTCTACACGTCGACTCGACGTCACTAGATCCGATTTGGCCTGATTTGTCCCTATAGACAGGGAACTTACGTGGATGTAATCCCAACTCGGAAGCCTGTCCTTCGTTTCATCTCGATACTTCGTGGGTCGCTGTCTCTCCGCGCGGATGCTACTCCATCAATAACTGATACTCGTCTCGTAGCTAAGGATCCTGAGTGCTTCATAGTACCCTCCTGACACACATAAGCGGAAACAGCCGCACCTAACCGTTCCAACGCAAGATTCTGCGCCCCGGATGCACTTTGTGCCGCTACTCTACTCCACTACGTGGGCTAATTTTCATGATAGTCGCTCTGGATAGAGAGGATTTGCGACGGGATCGAGATAGAACGATTTTCGTGTCGCGGTAGAGAACTTCGCAATGCGGCTGATATTTTCGTTGCTCAAGTAATTAATAGGTATTATGTAATTTGTATATTTTTGAGGGGGGAAGGGGGGAGAGGATTTTAATTTCGGAACTTTGTATTACGATTTCGTGGTACTTTTTCTTTTTCAGTTGCATCTTTTACTGATGTATGTTTTGAAACTTTTTGGGATGGATCGATTTAATTCTTGAAGATTAATGGAATAATTAAAGATTCGAAAGCAAACGTAATTAAAAAAAAATAGGGTAAAAGATAGTTTAGATATTATAAAATATGATTGTAATATCATACAATGGCATACATATAGTGTAAATGTATAATACTATGTATTGTATTTAGTATAATAGTAATTATACGTAGGTATAAAATCATAGAATGTATATTGGATAAGACAAGTAAAATGTGCAGTTCGATTTATTCTACACATCCGACTTATTCAACCACTAGCTCCTTCCAATCATACGTTTAAAGATTTCACATGGACAACACACAATCCTGCCACGTGTCACCACGCATTTCAGTCTTCACGTGCATTCTTAGAAACCCTCCTCTCTTGCAGCCGATATTCTCACACAGATATTCCATCTTTTCCACTTTGCGCCCAAGCACTCGTCAGCCTTGCTACATCCACAAGTTACTCAATTACATATCACAGTATTTGTTTCTTGAGAAAAGATCTGACATGACGAAATCACGATAATTTATACTCAAATTGCACGTTTGTTATTTATCGATAAGAGAGAAGAAATACAATTTAAATTATAATCTGCAAGCTTTATAAATTATAATTTCCGCTTCATGTAAAGAAACTCATCGTAGATTACATTTAACCTGACACAGACAATTCAAGAATCATTTCACAATACATATTCTAATACACAGAACAGCAAACCATCTAAAAAAGGTTTCAATCTTCTCCAATGCCTCTTCAATTCAATAATTCACGAAATCAATCTCACCGATTGATCGTATTCTTCCACTCGAAAAGAAATTTATTTCGAATGGTAATAATTGAAGTCTCGTTGAGGAACCGCGGCGGTTTCGATATTACACAAATATTTAATACACCTTCGAAAGCTGTATTAAGGAATTTCAGAAGCTTGTTCTCAAGAAGAACCATCCTGATTTCCAGACTGGTAACGTCACGTAACGAATCTCGAAATAGGAAAAGGGCCAGAGGATCCGTGGTTGAAGGGTGTCGCAGCTCTCACGGCTTTCCGACGGCTGTCGTAGCGAAAGGGTTACATGAAAACTCCTCGTCTCGACGACAAAGGGGTCTTATCTCGAATTTCTAAAGTCCTACCTTCCTGTCTCTCGCAACGCTCGACGTTCCTTCACCCCTTAGCTACCTCGGCCCTTTTCATCCCCGCGCAAACCTTTCACATGAGGATTCCTCGCTTGAGATATCGTTCGTTATTAGCGGTATTTCATACGGTACAGCGGTGTATCCTGATATTTTTTTCTCTCCTTTCTCACAGAGGTATGCTGTCTTTTAAAGGATCGCAACGTGAAGAAGAACGGTACCGACGAATGCGAAACGCCAGGGGAGTTCGCGATGCAAGAAAAAATCGCTTGGGGTGAAGATGCTGGTTAATGAGTTCGAATGTAAGTAATTTCAACATCATCTGTTCCTTTGTGAAGAAGGATATTAATTTCAGAGATTGAGTTGAGCAGAGTTGAGTGGATTATCTTATAATGATTTGAATTATTTGATTAATTTATTATGGTCACATTTTGGGTGTAAATAGCTATGATGAATATACAGTGGCTAGAAAAAGTATGTACACATACTCCTCTTTCGCAATAAAACACTTTTCATCATATTCTACATTTCATTTTCACAGTATCAAAATTTTATAGTTATATGTAGTTATATGATTTATAGAAGAATTACTTTACAAAAAAAATCACTCGTACTTTGAAATTATTCTATTCAAGTGTGAGATTGTATAAATAAATAGAATTTATTAGTTTCTACCATCGTCTAGAAAAAGATACAGCAAGACAGTGCCAAATGCATACCGAGGTACATAAATTTTTATGTAAATTAATAATCCATATAGTATGTACTTTATATGGTCTGATATCATTCAGCGTCTCTGAATGAAATCTTAAAATCGTTTAACATACTTACAATTGATACAAGGTTTCTTGTAAACGAAAAAGTATTAAGTTTAGAAATTATTTTCTGGCATAAAATGTATCTAAAATAATTGAAATCGGGTTTTCTCTTCATTCTCTATTTTACTCAAAATATTTCATGATCCACCGCTAATATATCGCAGCATTAGATACAATCATCTCTAAACAACATCTACATATACAAACATCTCGATAACAGCGATGCTTACCTATCATTTGCACGAAGTATACGATAAACACTCCCTTCCCACCAAGAATTTAAAGACAGCCGCAAGATGGAAATAGGGGAAAAGGAGAATCACGTCTCGCGTGAAATTCAGTGCACGTAATAAATTCACGGAGAAAGTTGTCGCAGTAAAAGTAAAAGAGCGGAATGGGGTAGGAGGGGTTTGGAAGGAGTAACCACGTGCTAAGAGTCGCTGAACGAACGAACGGGTCCGCTTAAATAACGCGTCGTGGCGCGCTGGATCCCGGTGAATAGCGCGAAGTAGTTAGAAAAATGTCTTACTTAAGAGAGAAAGTTCGTCGACCGGGGATCGTTGCGACGACGACGACGACGACGACGACGACCCTGGCCCAGAAACAAAGGCGGGAAGAAGAAGCTTGTGAATAATTCAAGTGCGCGCGAAATGAGGAAAGAGTTCACCGTTGAAAAGTTTTCTCGAGGAATTTTACGCGGCCTGCTTTTCTTTGATCGCCGTGCGCGCCCTTGAAAACTCTTCGCAGAAAGCCGTCTCTTAATTGAACTGCCGCCCCCTCGAAGGCCTTTAAAGACGTTCCCTCGTTACCTATCTCGAATCGATTCTCATCGACGTCGCACAAGTAATTTGTACCTTTGAAACACGATAAAAAACGTTTTAATTTTCTTCGCCGTATAATTTGATACGCACAGTGAACCTTAAGATTCAACTACCAATGTTCAAGAGATTATTATTGCTTTATACATTCGTTTATAATAACGTGACTCGATCGATTGTTTTTTTAATTCTATTCTAGTTGGTATATGTATTCTAGTTAGTAGAAATTTATTCATACAATGTTGTATAAGCGATAAAGTACATAATAGCGAAATATGTTTATTAAATTAAAAGAAATTAAAAATAGTAAGAAGATTTCACCGCTTTCGTTGTATTCATAAAAACACCAATTTCCATGAATAGTCTCAGTCTGGTAATAAACACTTATAGATAATCTATATATGAATCATCTAAACCAAAATACTTGACATTAAATACCAATAATATTTAATACTTACGATAAATTTCTATGCTCCATTTTCTTAGTCATGTGTCGTCTACAAAAATATAAAACTGCATAAAAATTCGCGATCTACTTATCATCGCCAAACTATTCCACTTCAATTAAATCAACACCGAACTTCTCTCTTTCTTACGCGACACTACATCAAACACGAGAAGCAGAGCATTCGCCAAGACCTACCTCAAGAACTCGCTCGAAAGGGAGGAAAGGGTTTAGAGCTCGACGACGTCGGCGTAACCGTAAAATTCACGGTTCACAGGGGGGGGGAGGGGACTCGTGTCTGGTTATGTTAGTCGAAGGGAAAGGTAACGGCCTAGAAAAGGCCCGGTGGAGAGGAGAGAGACAGCACGGGGTCCCTAAAAACAAAAGGCAACGCGGGGGCAAATTATGGATTCAAACGGCCGTCTTTTGTCTTTTCATGTTTATTTCTTTGTTTTACCGTCGTCGGCATTGTTTCAGCGGAGCGACAGAAAGCCAAAGGGGTTGCATTGGGGGGGTGGAAGGTCAGGCTTTGCCTTTGTGGGAACTACGGGTAGCTTTGTTATTCCTCCAGCTTTTTTCTCTGTCCGCGAGCCTCTCCTCTCTTTCTTGCTCTTGTTTCACCGGCTGACCCGTGCCGCTGTTTTTCCTTTCCCTTCTTTCTTTTCTCATGTTTCTCCCTTTTTCTTCACCCTTTTGTATTCTTGAAACGCGCGTCGTGCGTCGTGGCAACTGACAGCAGCGGCGGAGTTCGATCGCTCGTTCATGGACCTCGGGAGGTCGTACCGGCTGCTCTCCGTGAAACGTTTCGCTATTATTCGCTGCAATTGCGATCGCTTCTCGTTAGCCCAATGAGACCGTTTTTTGGAACCGCTGCAAGCCCGTTCTGTTCGATGTCTTCTTTGCTTTTGTACGAATCATGATGGGTTGTTACCTATTGGTTTATTACGTTTACTACACATTGAATTTGTCACGTACGCTGCATGCTGGTTTCACATAATCTTTGTAGAAGATCTTGTTATTTCTATAGTGGAAATATTTCTATATCGGTTCTTGGTATTAATACCGACGGGAATATAAAAGATTTGATTTTAATTTTATCGAACATGTGCACTTTAGAGACATATAGGCCTTTTATCATATAAAATGATACAATTTTTGTCCCTGTTAGTTTCACGTCAAAGAGCAAGTATAATGATGCGATGAATGATAAATTAGGCAACTAGAAAATTATTTAATACAATTATTTAGTCTTATAATGTAGCATCAAGTAGTCTTGCAAAAGTAGTGGTACCATTTATTGGGCGTGTATATGATATATTATACTAATACATAATTTAAGTATAATGTATCTTTAAGATTGCAAATTACCGATATCTATTACAGACCTCTCATTCTCCCTTACAATTTACTACACACTTAAAATATATTCTTACTTGAAAGAATAAATTTTCACATACGAATTTCTCTACTTCCCTTACAGTTTACCATACGCTTGAAAACTGATTTAAAACCCACGACTCTTTTCATTTCTGTTATATTCAATCTCTGCGAATCCCGTCATATATTTCAAACTACTACGAGAAATTCCTCAATGTACACACAATATGCTCATCCTCTCGATCAAGTCGCAAGTAGGCCAACTAAAATTCTACGTAAATCGAGACGATCGAAACCGAATGAATTTTGCATGGATTCTCGACTACTTCGAGGATGCTGAACGATCGTCCGCGAAAACGATAGCTGGACGGTTATTTCGAGTCGATTAAATGACTCGATTACTCGACGGACTGTCGTCCTCTATGCCCTTAGGTTGCAAGCATGAATCTTTTACTGGAACAGAACGTGAAACGTCGAAACGAAAGGGTTGGAAAGGAAACATCTTACTGTGCACGAAATTTGCACGCGCAAACGACCCACCTCATAGTGGTAAACTGACAACGAACGTGACGTCGTTTAAAGATTCACGAGAATCGACGAACCTTTGGACCGGAAGAATCGGGAAAATTCTTGGGATTTTCGACAGGGGAGAAATGTCATTTTCGGCCACCGCCAGGACGAAGACCTTTATCGAGACGAAGATTAATTTTCGATCGTCCAAAGATCCTCAGATAGCCACGTAAAATTTGTTAGACGTTATAAAGGAGTCATTAGTTTGTGAAATTTATGGACATTTTTAAAAAGCTCACAAATTTGTCAAATTTGTGGGTAGACATAAGTTATTAAGGAGTCAGCGATTTATGAAATTTCTCAAATTTATTGGAGAATAATGTGAAATTTACGAAGAGGTTGGGAATTTGTGAAATATATGAGAAGATTATGAAGAAATCATAAAACTTGTTAACAATTGTTATAAATTTCATGCTTCTTATATCGAAAATAACTGACATAATAAGACCAGTACGTCGTTACAATGCACAAGGGAGTCATCAAAGTTTTGAAGCTATTTCTCTTCCTTTTTTTTTTTAATTTTCGGGTAAAATTACTCTCGCCCGAGTCACATAATAATTTAACAAGAACGATCATTAAAACAGCTTTAAAGTTTCGTCCGAAGGAGATTCCCTAATTCACTTTAAACTTCAAAAATATCGACAGCAACTCGTTCCCCGTTCGACAAGAATTCTGAAGAAGAGAAAGCAGCTTTCCAGTGAAATTACATCGATTAATCTCCCAGAAAATCTCACTCCTTATTTACCAAGGCGAGCGCGACATAATAGACAGCAGGAGCGAAGAATGCGGAACGAGCTGGTTACTTGATCCAAGAACCTTTGAATTAATCGAGGGAGGCTCAAATAGAGCAATAATTGAATGTTCATAGCACTATTAAGCCGCCAACTAGAATCTCAATTACCATATATCCTTCCCCCCCCCCCATCCCTTAAAACAGCTTTAAAGTTTCGTCCGAAGGAGATTCCCTAATTCACTTTAAACTTCAAAAATATCGACAGCAACTCGTTCCCCGTTCGACAAGAATTCTGAAGAAGAGAAAGCAGCTTTCCAGTGAAATTACATCGATTAATCTCCCAGAAAATCTCACTCCTTATTTACCAAGGCGAGCGCGACATAATAGACAGCAGGAGCGAAGAATGCGGAACGAGCTGGTTACTTGATCCAAGAACCTTTGAATTAATCGAGGGAGGCTCAAATAGAGCAATAATTGAATGTTCATAGCACTATTAAGCCGCCAACTAGAATCTCAATTACCATATATCCTTCCCCCCCCCCATCCCACAAAAAACACATTATACATCAATCAAACAATTATACATCACTATAAAATAATAACTATACATCATATCTATAAAAATACCCAAAATTTATCGATTTCTATGTATAATAGTTCATCTGGCATGGCATATTATTAAGGAACAATGTGTTTCTCTAAACAATATATATTCATTGCAGAAAAAGAACAGTAGGAACATAGTATACTCTTGTTTTATAAATATAGAGCCAGCATATTTAATATGTAGAGAATGTAAAGAATATTTGATCATTAGAAATTTTGCTTCTATAATTGCAAGTGGAATGTGTCATAAGTTGTCAGACAAATAGCAAATTGTCTTTGGCTGTACAAACCATAGGCGTTCGAGTGTGTATAGCCATTATTTAACTAATTTAATTTATTACTACACCATATCATAGAATAACCTCGTATTTTCATACACAGATAATTCATTCGACTAGAATATCATTGAAAATGATATTGAAATGACATTGACGATAATGATTTAGGATTACCTATGTATTCATTCTAAATTTTGGAGTACTATATCATCCAATTTGCGGATAAACAGTTTATCGAAATAACGAAGACGCAAAGACAGAATATCGATGCCTACTAATATAATAAATAATCGATTGTTTGATTACTTTTATGATCGCTGCGGAATATATACTTGCACCAAATATTTTCTAGCTTCTATGTACATTTACAGAATTGTCTTAAACTTTACTTACATAATCACTACGGTGCTCGTGAAATTCCAAAATGTTTCATTAATAGATTATCTTCATAAAAAATTTCTACTGGTATTCGAATACTTTTTTAAACAACTCTATTTTTCACTGATAGCGTACATCAAACAATTAATCAGCCCCATTCCTCTTTTCTCATCCTCGCCAAACAGCTACCTTGTGTCTCGACCGGAGTCGTTCCATCGCTCGAACAATCTCTATTCCGCGCGACTCAACGCGGTAACGCCGTCGGAAACGAGACGTCTCTGTGCTCCTCGTTCTACCGCCTCTCGCCAACCCACCCCCGTTGGTGAAACGAGGTCCGTGAAAAACCAGACGCCGCCGCTTACTTTCAAAATTTCCTTGCACGCTGGTCAGGCACACGACCTTCTCTCTCTCGGTCGTCGAGGGATCGTCGACGAGGGTTGAAGGGACACGTTCGGGGGTAGGGACACGGTACATAGAAAAGGACACTCTCAGTTGAACGAACATTGGATAAAAAGAGATAGACTGGGAGGTAGAATAGGAATGGGTGATGCGAAGGGTGGCAGAGCGGGTTGGCGCGGCGCGGCGGTCGGCAAGGACCACGAGATCAATATGTATGTTGGGGGATGTGGACCACGTGGGTCGGGGGTGGCCAGCAACTGCCGGCTGCTGATTGGCCAACGGCCACCCCATGGCCACGCCCACTCCCACACACGCTGTCTTAAAGCCTCGACGAAGCGGCAGCCACCCTATATACCTTGGTGAACAGCCACCGCAAAAGCAGAGGGACGCTGGGGGTGGCTGGATGCACGATGCCAACACTCTCTACCCCGCTAACACTGTTACCGAATTCGGTGGAATCATCGAAAATTGAAAACCGGCTTGGCTTGTCCTTTCCTTTTCTCTTTCTAGTTATCGACGAATTTTCTGGGAAACTACCCTCCCCCCGCGCTTCCCCTTTTTGAGTCTATAGCGGTGTAATCTGATTAAACGGATACTGAAGTGTAGGTAGAATGGTTGAAATTTTGGAGAGTAGTAGGGAACAGGTTTTTAGAGGATAACAGGTGAACGAGAGACCAATGGATAGTATGAAATACTGGTTTCGCGAGTGGCCAAGCTTGTTCCATCGTGGCAGCTTTCTCGTCTGATTTACATTCGCGCTGACTCGGGCGTCATGATCGAGTCGAGGGGTGCACGGGAGAACAGGTTACGGAATGATGGATAACTTTATATGTATACGTGATAATGAGGAGAAGGTTTCTAGAGATTTGTGGGTGCGTTTTGAAGTTTTACTTGTCGTGATTTTTTGTGTCTCCTATGTAAAATTCTTTTAAATAATACTGAAAGAACAAATGAAAGTTTAAAAGGCAGTTTTATAAATCACAAGTTATTTAACCGTTCTACTTATTGTCAAATTGTGAACGAGATAATTATATTTTTCAAATTGTAACTTTTACACTTGTAACTTTAATATCATTAGATGGTAAATTATTGTGTAAAAAGAATGGGTATCTATATTTTATCTATCTTTTTGGATTATATTTATCTCGTGCATACGCTATGCAATATATAAAGATTCCTTTTATCATACAGCTCATGAAACCGCTAGGAAACAATATCCATATATAAGAATGTTAGTCGCGAAATATATATAAGTGATAGCTACAAGTATAATACACACGATACAATACATAATGATGAGTACGATACATAAGACCCAAGTTTTAGAAATTATGGGATGAGACACTCATTGAAACTTAGGATCTTCTATGACAAATTATCATATACAGCACAAATCTGAAAACGACAACGAAATATTTAAATAAAAAAAATTAACTCTAAAGTTACATACTCACCTTTCAATCGAAGTCGTGCAATAATGGATAAAATTATTTCATGAAATCCTTTAAACATGAGATAAGTCGTTCTCTCGCTTTGGAGAAGTCGAGAAAATTGAATATCATTTCCCATGGTGTAACCGCGAAATTAAAGAAGCGAAGTCTCATTACACCAATCAACATTCGATAAAACGATTTCATCGATCGATCGATCGATCGAGGTTCGTCAAGCGTGCACGACACACCAATGGATTTAATTAGCCATATAGATCTGGAAACGCAAGCGGGACGAGAATGGCTAACGACGTTATCCGACCCTTCTGACGATCGTCGATAAACGGGAATCACCTCTGACTAATTCTCTTCTCGACCCCTCGTCTGCGTAGATTCGAAAAGAAATCGGAAATTGCGTGTTTGACGGATACGAAAAATACCTTTAAAAGTCAGATTCATCGAATGATCATTTTAAATGAATTTTAATCGATGGAACAGTTTCTTAAGACAAACTTTGTATTCGTCTTAGCTACATCGACACGTACAGAAATAAAAAATTTAAAACAACATGAAAGTTAAACGTTTAAATAATTTGATGTAATAATTCTTCCCTTCAAAAACGTATAGAAAATAATTCAACTCATTCGACAATCTCAACTTTCCTCAATTTTGAAATGCCAGAAAATGTTCCACATATATCTACACAAGATGTCACAACGTTTTCATTTCACACATAATTAGAAATAACTATTTATTATCAAAATTAACACACACCCAACAAAACTCAAATGAAACTCATTCCTCAACCTTAACATTTTTAAATCTTGAAACTGTAAAGAACATTTTAGATAAAACATCACAATCACACTTTGATTTTATAAACAATTATAAATTACGATTTATCATCAAACTCGCTAATTCTTATATTCTCTACACTTACTGATTCTCTAAATCCGAATAACATAACAAAATCAGAGAAAATTCCCAATTAATTCACCCCAGTGTCGCGTGTTCCTCCATCTGCTACAACCCCTCCGTCAATTAATCCCCAAAATACTTCCATCTCGTCGATCCTCGACGTTCAACCACCTCAAAATACCATTACGAGGACACCAACAGTTCTACTACCCTGCTGAAATTTTGAAAATTCTATGTTTCTTCTCGCGAAAGGAAACAGAAACGGCCCGATTAAATCCGCAGGTACCGAGTTGCTGAGCAACAAGACGGCTGAAAGTTTCATCCGTTGCTTGCGCCCAATTCTGTCTCCGATTCATTCTCCCCCTTGTTCCAGCGGCCGACGCTCGTAAAATATTCAAGCCCCATGGACGTCGCGCGAGATTTCAGCGCGACGCGACGCGGCTC